AAAAATTAAATATGCTTAATAACCAAGGAAGCCCAAAACAATTAGGATACAGAGGTCTTTCTTGCTCCTCCCAAGTCTTTCTTGCTCAAAACAAATAGAATACAGAGGTCGATTTAGGTCAAGACAGATGAAGGCGAGGAACACAAATCCGGGTGAAGGTTGTGCGAGGATGTCCGGGTTACTTGGTCACTGGCCAAGGAATGTTGTGCGATGGAGGTGAAGCTCGGACAAGCCTGTGTCCGAGAAGTGGATAAATAAGACAACCTTTGTGCGAGGTAACTAGATAGGATGCGAGAAAAACAAGTCCTTTGGCCGAGGAAGGAATCCGGCTAGGTATGTAAATGACCAAGTCTTGAGCGATGTAGCCTAATGCCGTCAACCCTTTGTGCGGAGTTAAGACAAATCGATTGGACTGTTGAGCGATGTATCCTAAAAACGTGTAAGCCTGTGACCGAATAACACCAAAATGAACCCTTGAGCGAGTAGCAAGAACCTAGTTGGAAGAGGTGATAAGCGATGAAGATGATTTGCAGGAGATAAAGATGAAACCGGATGGGCTGTGAGCGATGAAACCAAATCCGGTTATGTCTTTGATTGGTTTAGCCAAATCAATTGAAGTATAAGGAAGACCTGCGAGTTAGACTTTGAAATGTGAGCGATGAAGCAATCCGGTCAAAGTCTTTGTGCAGGATGGGCCATTGTGCGATTTTAAGCCCAAAAAAAAATCCAACCTTGTTAAGTCCAAATATTTATGTTGAGCGATTTATGAATTGAAACTGATCAAACCAAGTCAAAAACACAAAAATGTCAACTTTTTCACCAAATTATGGATCAAAACCAGACTTTTTAAAGAATTTTCAAGAACAAAAAAAAAAACCAAATTCCATCAAAACTCGAAAAACAATGATCAAAACGTAAATCTTTGTGTATAACAAAGATTCACGAAGTGATTACAAACAATTTTAACACAAAAACACAAAAATTTTGAAAAAATTTCAGATCAAACTCGGAAAAAATAAATAAGAACAAGATGAATACAGAAAAATTCCAAAAAAAATTCTTCAATAAATTTTCAAAATCGTTGATTTCTTCTCTTGATTTCTTGCATAAACTGCTCTGATACCAATTGAAAGTCCCTAAGTTGATCAATCTTCAGATAAGCTTCAAGAATCCATGACAGATTTGAAAAAACATGTAAGAACACTTGGAAGGAGATTGAGAGAATTAGTCAATCTGGTCAAACTTCTATTATGTACGTATATGATTTTACAATGAAGCTCTTACTCTAAAATTACTAAAGACAAAACTATATATAGGGTCAAAGTATAACCCTTCTAAGTCAAAGTCAAACACACTAGAAAAGTCAAACATGGTGTCTATACGATTATAGAAAATATATTTTTCAAGACGAATACAATTTAACACAGAAATTCAAACCCAAAACATCTCATGACGATATTTGAGCTCCCACTTGACTTGTCATCTGGTAAAGTAAATCTGAAGCTCTATCTTCAAGTCTTGTTACCTTTTAAAGAAACAAAATACAAGATCTAATCTATTATTTTACATTTTCCAAAAATAACAAAATGACTTATTATTACAAATCCATGAAACAATATTACAAACATTCATCACAAAGGGGTAAAAAATTTGTCATACACCCACAAACAACATACATACATATATATACATACATAGGGGACCATTCAAGGAAGAACTGAGTTGTTTGTGTTAACCGTGAGATCCAATTTCAACCACACAAATTAATAATCAATGGTTGAAAATAAAAGAATAATTAATTACTGAAATTCCAAAAATAACTCTCCAATATTTAAAGTGGGTATGTAAATAAGGGCAAAAGTGTCATTTTTTTTAATTTAATGAGACTATTTTCAGCGTCCTAGAAATCCGTTAATCTTCTAAAATTATATTTCATCAAATCAAAACAAAAAACACAAAAGATCCTGTTGGTTATGCGAGAAGAAGTAGAAAACAATTTGTAGGCTTTGGTTGAACATGTTGTGTTACATTGTGGTAAAAAAGATTGTGATTTCATGTGTTACCCAAAAGATTGTGGTTTCAACAGAGATGTGAAGTTGCTGCATAAACACAAGAAAATAATACAGTCAATGAGCATTCAATTACACTTTGTGTAATATCTCAATCACATAGTAGCAAACCATACAAGACAACTTCCAAACCACTAAACCCATGGTGAAAATTCTTTGGTAGCCTACAACTGAGAACTCATAAGTCATAAGGGACTACAAATTCCAATAGTTACTGATGCGGGACAAGGTGTTACAATACCAATAGTGTATTAGGTAACACAAGATTTTGTATTACATTTTGGTAAAAAAGATTGTCATTTCATGTGCTATCCAAAAGACTATGGTTTCATGTGGTAATTTAGGAATGTAAAATCAAAATTAATTGAAAGTTTAAAACGTATGGAATTAATAAATAAATATTTAATCTAAATTTAGTAATTTACTAACATGTCTTTTTACATTAATTTAAAAAGAATAATCAATATATTAAAATGATTGGTTGAGATTGAATCTCACGATTACCACAAACAAAACAGTTCTCATTTGATTAAGCCCCTATATATATATATATATA